CAAAATTTGCTGTAAATGCAAAAAAAAAAAAGCAAGATACAGGATAATGTACGTAGAATTTTGTGTGTGTTTGTGTGTGTGTATAAATGTAAAATATTTTTGGAAGGATATTGGATAAATTGCTAACAAGTGGCAAATTAGCCTCTGAGAAGAGGAAAGTTGGATGTCCTAGAGATAGGGATGGATGGATGATCTTTTCATTGTAACCTTTTTATGGTCTTTGAATTTTGAATCCTATGTATGTATTGTCCACCCATAAAAAAAAATAGTGTAAAAGTCACTTCATTTGATTATCAGTAAAACACACATTATAAGATGATAAATGCTACAGTAAAGATATGAATAAAAAGCCTAAGGAGCACAGAATAAATAATATTACGGGTGGGAGTGGGAAGAGTGCCAAATAGCATTCTAGGCAATAAGAAAATGGGTGTCCACGTTCAAAATAGCAAGAAATATTGTGGTGTGGCTAAAGTCAGGGGAGTAGGCAGATGGGATTACCTTTAGGCCTGGGCAAGTAGTCTGTGACTATGCTACATAGTGGCCTCCTATCATGGCAGGCTTCTCAAAATGAGGACTTCAAGATAAAACAACTAGATATAACCTGATAAGGACTTACTAAGTGAGATTCAAATACTATACACAATTCAGATGCCAATTTAACACTATTTATATAAATGTTGTTTAAATGAGCAGACTCTAAGAAGGGTGTTGCTAATCCAGCAGTCATAGTTTTCTTTGTTGGTCAGACCATGTAGGACAAAAAAGCAGAAAAGAAATTTACTATTAGGCTTACCTTTTAGACTCTTACAAGTATTTATCACAGTTAAAAAAGAAATGTCAAATAGAGCATCGTTTTTTTGTGGTTGTGTTTTTGTTCTGTTTTTTGAGACGGAGTCTCACTCTTGTTGTCCAGGCTGGAGTGCAATGGAATGATCTGGGCTCACTGCCTGGCTCCGCCTCCTGGGTTCAAGCAATTCTCCTGCTTCAGCCTCCTGAGTAGCTGGGATTACAGGCGCCACCATGCCCAGTTAATTTTTGTATTTTTGGTAGAGACGGGGTTTCATCATGTTGGCCAGGCTGGTCTTGAACTCCTGATCTCAGGTGATCTGCCTGCCTCAGTCTCCCAAAGTGCTGGGATTACAGGTGTAAACCACCGTGCCCAGCCCCAAATAGAACATTTGTTACCATCACAACATATAACTAAATAGCTAATGAACCAAATTGCACACTGAATGGATATGTATCTATGGGATATTCAACAGTGTCTGATATTGGACAAACCCTTTTCAAGTGATGCTCTGCAATTATATTAACTTAGAACAAACTATTTGGTGGCAGTTTTGGATACTGGTACCACTATGATCTGAATGGTTACCTCTAAATATTTATGTTGAAAACAAAAACAAAAAAACAAATAGTTATGTTGAAGCACATAATCCCCAATGTGGTGGTATTATGAAGATGTGGACCTTTGGGAGTGAATAGGTCATAAAGATGTTGTCCTCATGAATGGGATTAGTACTAAAGGGAGCTTGTTCACCCCCTATACCATATGAAGTTGCAAGAAGGCATTATCTGTAAAGGCAGAGAGTGAGCCTCATTAGACCTAGAATATGGTGTCTCCTTGATCTTAGACTTCTAGCCTTTAGAACTGTAAAGAGTAAACTCCTGTTACTTGTTAGTACTAGTTTAGTATATTTAGATTTACAGTGGCCCAAGCAAACAAGATGCAAAACCCCATATTGAACAGGAAGAGAAAATCTAGCATCAGATCACATGCTGACTATCTTTGTGAAGAGACCATGCCGTACTGGTGAATGATTTTGTTCATTAGGATTTTTTGACCCAGCGCGGTGGCTCACGCCTGTAATCCGAGCACTTTGGGAGGCGAGGCGGGCAGATCACCTGAGGGTTGTGAGAATCTGGAGACCAGCACGACCACCTGGAAACCTGTCTCTACTTAAAACACAAATTATCTGGGCATGGTGGTGCATGCCTGCAATTCCAACTAGTTGGGAGGCTGAGTCAGGAGAATCGCGCTTGAACCAGGGAGCGGAGGTTGCTGTGAGCTGACATGGCGTCATTACACTCCAGCCTGGGCAACAAGGAGCGAGGGAAATTCCGTCTCAAACAAAAAAATAAAAATTTATAGCCAGGCGCGGTGACTCATGCCCTTATTCCCAGCACTTTGGGAGGCCGAGGCGGGCGAATCACTTGAGGCTAAGTGCGAGACCAGCCTGCCCAATACAACACGGTAAAACCCCGTCTCTACTAAAAGTTTTCTTAATTAGGCAGGCATGGTGTCCCGCCTGTAATGACAGCTACTCGGGAGGCTGAGGCAGGAGGATCGCTTGAACCCGGGAGGTGGAGGTTGCAGTGAGCCTGAATTGGCTGCATACTCTAGCCTGGGCGACAGTGCTAGATCCTGTCTCTCAAAAAAAAAAAAAAAAAAAAAAAAAAAAAAAAATTTTTTTGCAGGCTATGTTCTGAAACTTTATTAGTAGGTATTAAATTATAAGAAATGGTAGGCCTGAATGGATATTTTGACATGAGGAAATAGAAAAAAGACTGGAGAGAGGTTTATTTCATAACAGGAGAATAAGAAACATCACATATCCTTCCAACAGGAGGTTTTATTGTGTCTACCCTCTAAAGGCGATCCTTCTCTCAAATGAACATTTTTGGTTTATTGTCCAGGAATAAGGGTATTTTTTGTTTTGTTTTTGTTATTTTCATGTTTAACGTAGGTACAGTCCTCAACTTCTTTCACAAAAGCTTTCTTCTAAATTGATTTTTTTTTCATTACAACCTCATGTTCCCCTGCTTGGAAACTTCTCTTCAGTCTGTCTCAGAACAAATTTACAAGATACGACTATAATTGAATAATCATAAGCGTTTAAGGCTAAAAACCTTAAGCAACGTCAATTACACATTTGTGCTGCTATAACAGAATATCTGAGGCGAGGTAATTTATAAAGAAATTTATTTTTCTCGGCCAGGCGCGGTGACTCACGCCTTATTCCAGCACTTTGGGAGGCCGGGGCGGGTGGATCACTGAAGTCAGGGATCGAGACCATCCTGGCTAACACAGTGACACTCCGTCTCTATTAAAAAAAAAAAAATACAAAAAAGTTAGTCAGGCGTGGCGTGAGCTGCCTGTAGTTCCAGCTACTCCGGAGGCTGAGGCAGGAGAATGGCGTGAATCCGGCAGGCGGGCTACAGTGATCTGAGATCGCACCACTGCCGCTCCAGCCTGAGCAATATAGCGAGACTCTCTCCGTCTCTGTGGGAAAAGAAAGAGACTTATCAGACTGTTACTGTGTCTGTGTAGAAAAAGTAGACAGAAGAGACTCCATTTTATTTCTGTACTAAGAAAAATTCTTCTGCCTTGAGATTTTTGTTAATCTGTAACCCACCCCCAACCCTGTGCTTGCAGAGACATGTGCTGTGGTGACTCAAGGTTTAAGGGATTTGGGGCTGTGCGGGATATGCTTTGTTAAACAAGTGCCTGAAGGCAGTATGCTTGTTAAAAGTCATCACCATTCTCTAATCTCAAGCACCCAGGGACACAACACTGCCCGGAAGGCCGGCCACAGGGGACCTCTGCCCTGGAAAGCTGGAATAATTGTCAAAGGTTTCTCCCATGTAATAGTCTGAAATATGGCCTCATGGGAAGGGAAAGACCTGATCATCCCCCCATCCCGACACCCGACACCCATAAAGGGTCTGTGCTGAGGAGGATTAGTAAAAGAGGAAGGAGGGCCTCTTTGCAGTTGAGACAGAAGGCATCTGTCTGCTGCTGGAATCCTGGGCAATGGAATGTCTCAATGTAAAACCACGTTGTTGTATGTTCTATTTACTGAGATAGGAGAAAACCAGCCTTAGGCTCAAAGTAGGACGTGCTAGCAGCAATGCCTTTCTTATGCACTGAAAATGTTTATGGAGATGGTTGCATATATGGACATCAAAGCACAGCACTTTTCCTTAAACTTATTCATCACTGCAGAGATCTTTATTCATATCCATCTTCTTGCTGACCTTCTCCCTACTATGATCCTACTGTCCTGCCACTTTTTCCCTTTCTGAGATGGTAAAGATAATGATCAATCTGTACTGAGGGAAGTCAGAAACGGTCTGTGGCCCTGGGTCCTCCATATGCTGAGGCGCCGGTCCCTGAACCCACTTTTTCTTTCTCTATACTTTATCTCTGTGTCTCTTTTCTCAAGTCTCTGGTTTCACCTGATGAGAAATGCCCACAGGTGTGAAGGAGCACACCATCCTTCACGTCTAAAAAAAAAAAAAAAAAAAAAAAAAAGATTTTTCTCACAGTTCTGGAGGCTGGGAATGCCAAGATTCAGGTCCCAGAATGTTCCATGGCTGGTGGCGAAGTTCAGGTCTCTGCTTCAAATTGGCACCTTGTGTCCTATGTCTTTAGGGGGAGGGTTGTGGGGGTTAACACTATGTCTTCCATGGCAGAGAGGCAAAAGGTATGAACTCCCTTCCTCTGTCAAGCCCTTTTATAACAGCGATGTAATTCATTCCTGAAAGCAGAGCCCTCATGACTTAAACATTTTCCAAAAGACTCCACCTGCCAACCTTGTTGCACTGGGGCTTAGTTTCCAACACACATTAATTTTGGGGGACACATTCGTACCATACCAAAGAAGGTCACTGCAAACCTGACATTCTCTAGCCTGTCTTCCTCTGCAATGTTTCCATGAGCCTCGGTTGTTATAACCTGGATATACTGATGGAACACTTCAAGCAGGGATTTTATTTATTTATTTATTTATTTATTTGAGATGGAGTCTAGCTTTGTCACCCAGGCTGGAGTGCAGTGGTGCAATCTCGGCTCACATTGCCTACCTCCGCCTCCCAGGTTCAGGCGATTCTCATGCCTCAGTCTCCCAAGTGGCCTGCTTAGGAAACGGGGGGCGGGAGAGGGGAATGTTTTCACTTTAGCCAGCATGAGCTACATTACCCTGAATTTTTCCAACTTCAATTCAACCTTAGTTTTATTCTTGGCGTGTTGGCAAGGAATATACACACACTACAGTATAGGTTGGCAGAAAATTAGAACCACCATACGGTCAAAACCGGGCTGCGGAGATGGGCAGGTAACACACAAAGGAACTTTTGGCTACACCCAATGCTTGCGGAAAGCTCCCAGATTATTAAATGTTAAGATTTACAAAACTAACATTTTAACAGGGATAGGCTGAGCCTTACAAAACAGATTGTATAACGTCTGGAAATGGACCCTATCTGCTATAGGCAAAACAAGTACCAGGAAGAATACCTCAGAGAAACAGATCTTTTCAGCGCGCAAGTGGGTGGCTCTGAAAAGAGCCTTTGGGTATATATCCTGAGTCCTTGAGACTCAAGCCCTCTCGCCGCGGATACGACGTGCGAGCTGGATATCCTTGGGCATGATAGTCACCCTCTTGGCGTGGATGGCGCACAGGTTGGTGTCCTCAAAGAGCCCCACCAGGTAGGCCTCGCATGCCTCTTGCAGCGCCATCACCGCCGAGCTCTGAAAGCGCAGGTCGGTCTTAAAGTCCTGCGCGATCTCTCGCACCAGACGCTGAAAAGGCAACTTTCTGATCAGCAGCTCGGTGGACTTCTGGTAGCGGCGGATCTCGCGGAGAGCCACTGTACCAGGCCGGTAGCGATGGGGCTTCTTGACGCCGCCGGTGGCCGGAGCGCTCTTCCGAGCCGCCTTCGTAGCCAGCTGCTTGCGCGGAGCCTTGCCGCCGGTGGACTTACGAGCAGTCTGCTTCGTACGCGCCATTATTTCAGAACCAGATTCAGTTAAGGACAAAGAGAAAGCTAGCCGCTTATTTATAGTGAGAGTCTGAAGCTGATTGGACAAAAAGTATGCTGAAGGCCTACCCAACAGTAACCGGATTGGCCAAGGACTCAAATTTTTGTTGTCCACCAATTCCTCTGACAGTCTTAGCAGTTCATGGCCTCCATATTTTATTTTCTATTTTCGCTTTACAGTTGTTCACTATACCAGTGATTTCCAGTGGAAATAAATGAGAGCAATATAAGTAATTTACATTTAGGAGCAACATTAGAACAAAGCAAGAAAAGATTAACTTTTAATATTTTGCTTAATCAAATATAGCCAACATATTTCAGTATGTTACCAAAATTAAAATTGTTAGGTATTTTACACTTTTTGGCACTGACTTTTCCAAATGCAATGTGTATTTTATATAAAATTCATGCTATGGAATTTCCAATGATCACTCTACAATTGACTAGTGGCTACAATACTGGACAAGAGAGCCATATACACCTCTCCCCTCAATTGTCTATTTTTTGATCACTTAAATTTTAAAAACTTTTGTATTTTTTTAACCAAGAAAAACTGATTCGCATGTGAGAAATTCAAGGCCTAAAAATGTCAAACAACCTTATGTGAGCTTTTCGCGTTCAGATTAAAGTAATTCCATTACAGCTTATTTTTCCAATACTCTAGAAACGTAATTCATTTTCTCTTAAGTATCTATTCCATTTGTACATCCAGATATGATTTATTAAACAGATTAAAAACATCAAGTCAGATATTTTAAAAGTGTAATTTACCATGCTGAAACAAATTAATGGTCATCTCTATACTAAGAAATCAATTTGTGTGGCTGGGGGTGAGAAAGCTCAAGAAATTTTAATTTCTATGAATTTTCAGAAAATGCTTCAAAGACAACTACCTGGTACCATAATTAACTGTTCTAATTAATCTAATTAGAAATTATTCTCTCAACTCAATCATTAATGTTCAAGTGCAATCTAATTATTCTGATTCGAGAGATCTTTCTCAGAAATAAAGAATCCAAGCCGTTGATCTAGATTTAGACTAAACGTCGAATGCTCGGTTTGTCATTTACCAAGACCAAGAATGCATTTGGCCCCAAAGCCAAAGTCATGTTTGCTTCCAACAATCTAAAAATGGTGGAGTGTCAGTAAAACCCGACAGTGAACCATATAGAATAATATACTTGGATAACGCCAAATTAAGAAAAACCAAATCTTCTTGTGTTAAGCTTAAGATGAAGGCGGTTTAATACTTTTAACGTTATCCAGGCTTTTTAAAAAGCTAATGAGATTGCCACTACCTAACCAAGTCACCGAAGACTGATGTACGTTAACCTTTGGAGTGGTTTAGTAGTAGGCGAAGACGAGAAATCATATTAAAAGTAGTGCTCAGTTCTTCCACAAAATTGTAGGTGGCTCTGAAAAGAGCCTTTGGTTCCGTTGGGATTGAGTTGCTGCAAACTAATCCAGCGTTCTACTTGCCCTTCGCCTTGTGGTGGCTCTCGGTCTTCTTTGGCAGCAGCACGGCCTGGATGTTGGGCAGAACACCACCCTGTGCGATGGTGACTTTGCCCAGCAGTTTGTTGAGCTCCTCGTCGTTGCGGATGGCCAGCTGGAGGTGACGCGGGATGATGCGAGTCTTCTTGTTGTCGCGGGCCGCGTTGCCCGCCAGCTCCAAGATCTCGGCGGTCAGGTACTCCAGCACCGCCGCCAGGTACACCGGCGCCCCAGCACCGACCCGCTCGGCATAGTTGCCTTTGCGGAGCAGGCGGTGTACTCGGCCCACGGGAAACTGAAGCCCGGCCCGAGAAGAGCGGGTCTTGGCCTTGGCGCGAGCTTTGCCTCCCTGCTTACCACGCCCAGACATGGCAAAAGGCCTGTATCTATACAGTTAAAAACGACAGACGAAAGTAGAAAAACGCAGTTTTTATAGCCTCTACTGGGCGCGAAAAGGAAGCTGTTCGATTGGCTAACGTTTGATTTTTATTTAGACCAATAGGACTCAATTATGCAGGATACTTATTTTGATTGGGCAAAACTGGCATCTGACGTCATCCAAGGATAATCACCAATCAGCAGAGACCTTCCCCCTACCTCGTCCGCATAAACTATTATATAAAAAGAGGAGACCAAGTTCTTGTTTCCTTCTTACCAGTATTACTTCATCATGCCCGAGCCGGCCAAATCTGCTCCCGCCCCGAAGAAGGGCTCCAAGAAAGCGGTGACCAAGGCTCAGAAGAAGGATGGCAAGAAGCGCAAGCGCAGCCGCAAGGAGAGCTACTCCGTGTACGTGTACAAGGTGCTGAAGCAGGTCCACCCCGACACCGGCATCTCTTCTAAGGCCATGGGGATCATGAACTCCTTCGTCAACGACATCTTCGAGCGCATCGCGAGCGAGGCTTCCCGGCTGGCGCATTACAACAAGCGCTCTACTATCACCTCTAGGGAGATTCAGACGGCCGTGCGCCTGCTGCTTCCGGGGGAGCTAGCCAAGCACGCGGTGTCGGAGGGCACCAAGGCCGTCACCAAGTACACCAGCTCCAAGTAAATTCTCAAGCTCTTTGTCAAACCCAAAGGCTCTTTTCAGAGCCACTCACTATTATCTAAAGAAGAGCTGATTCGCTCTTCCGAACGCTGGGGGCGAGGGATCATAAATCATTTTGTTGGTCTATCTGCTAAATTAAGTTCTTTGAAAGCCTTTTCAAGTGAAATATACATGAGGTACGTGCATATAGCTGCCAACACCATAGAGGGTCCGACCTTGGCCCTTGAGGGCATAAACTAGGTCCTTAGCAGTGTCGCGTTTTGCTTGTTTCGTGTAAATCAAGCGCACCCGGGATCACGTTATCTGGAAATGCCTTGAGTATCCACGGGTTTCTAAAAAGATGAGACCAGTGAAGCGTTTGACACCGCCCGGCCAGGCGGTGGGTTTGGGATACCTGGATGTTGGCGCAGCAACTGCGGTGGCGCCCCCTTTACCCAATCCCTTCCCACAGTTGCGCAACCAGACATGATTTTAAGGCCCGACAAAAGACCCAAGGTAAAAGCCAAAAACAGCACTAGGGAAACAAGGCTGGCCTTTTTAATCATTCAGACTAAATTGGAAACTACAGGGCTGGGTGCGGTAGGCTTGTGCCTGTAGACCAAGCACTTTGGGAGGTGGAGGCGTGCTGATCGCTTGAGCCCAGGAGTTCGCAACCAGCCTCGGCAACATAGCAAAACCCCGGCTCTGCAAAAAGTACAAAAATTTGCCAGGAGCGGTGGCGCGCCCCTGTTGTCCCAGCTACTTAGGGGGCTAATGTGGGAGGATGGCTTGAGCCTGGTAGTTGGAGGTTGCAGTGAGATGAGATCCGCACCACTGCACTCTAGCCTCGGCAATAAAGCCAGGTCTTGTCTCAAAAAAATAAATAAATAAATAAAAAGTGATCAGTGAAAGTTAACACCTTGCCTTCTCCTAATTGTCAATACCTGCTAGCAAAAGATGCCAAAGTAGATTTTTAAAAGTTTTTCTTGCTGTCACCCAAACCCAACTGTTTTTCGTATACTATTTACCATCAAATTTACTAACATTTTTTAAGCATCTGCTATTCACCATGGGCCAGTCATAGTATTCTGCTATAGGTATGGGAAATCCTGAATAAGTCTCCCAGACGTTAATTCTCAATCATTGCTGGTGGCCCCACAAATTGGTAGTGCTTTCATAAAGGAAAATTTGGTAATACCTGTCAAATTTTTTTAAATGAATCTATCTTTGCATCAGAAATTTCACCCCTAGGAATTTACTATTTTTGAAAATATGCAAAATAACATATACAGGGGTTTTCAGCAGTACTGTTTGTAGTATAAGACTAGAAGCAATTTGATTAGCAATAAATTACAGTACATCATTCTATCTAGTAAAAAATAAGAAGGCTCTTTTTGTAATTATTTACTGCTTATTATGTGCCAGATAATGTCCTAAAAAGCTCTCTGCATACATTAAATCATTTAGCTTTCATAACAACTTTATGATAAATTACTATTTTTATACCTGTTTTACAGATCATAAAATGGGGGTTCAGAGAGCTTGACTAAATTGCCTAAAGTGTGAAATTGTACAATGGGAAAGTTGTCAATCAAAATGAAATCACTAATGTTAAGAAAATCCTGACACACAGAACCAAGAAAGGCCGTAAAAAGAAGGTTCTCATGCTTGTATGCCTAATAACAAAAACTATCACAAGAGACGGTAAGAGCCACAACCATAAACACAGGCCATGAAAACCTTACACAAAAAAATACTTCTACAAGACCATTTGCCCAACAACTACCTTCCCAACTTTAAACTGGCATCGCCCTTGTTATTGTAACCCTCCTCGTTTTTTTCTTTAAAAACCTTTGTCTTCCTTTACCTCCCTGAATACACATATACTTTATAGCATATGGATTCCCATTACAATGCTTTATTCCCAAATAAATATATTTTTCTTTAGAGAGCCTCTATGTTACTTAGGTTGGTAACAGGTGATAAGTAGTGAAAACATGCTTCAAAACCAGAGTCTGGTTTCAGAATCCCTATTTATAACTGTAGCAGGACCAGCCACAGACAAAACCTCTCAGACACTGAGTTGTAGAAGGAAGGGCTTTATTCAGCTGGGAGCATCAGGAAGCTACTGCCTTAAAATCTGAGCTCCCTGAGTACACAATTTCTGTCCCTTTTAAGGGCTCACAACACTAAAGATTTCATATGAAAGGGTCGTGATTGATTGAGCAATCTAGGGGATACGTGACAAGGGTTTCATGCACTAATAGTTAGAGAGAAACAGAACAGGGCAAGGAGTTTCACAATGTTCTTCTATACAATGTCTAGAATCTATGAATAACATCGGTTTGTAAGTTATGAGTTGATTTTTAACTATTAGGTTTAGGCCAGACAGACCCAGACCCTGTTTTAGGCCTGGCGCCAGGCTGCCTGTCTTTGGTTTCACTTCCTTGTTTTTTTGTTAAATCAGGTACTGAGTGTGAAACAATATAAAACAATATAAGAAGGTCTTTCTCTTTTCTCATAATCAGTGTATACTATACAGCTTCTCCAGGTACTAATAATGGGATGATCTCCAAAATTTGCTGTAAAATGCAAAAAAAAAAAAGCAAGATACAGGATAATGTGCAGTAGAATTTTGTGTGTGTTTGTGTGTGTGTATAAATGTAAAATATTTTTGGAAGGATATTGGATAAATTGCTAACAGTGGTGGCCTCTGAGGAAAGAGAAAGTTGGATGTCCTAGAGATAGGGATGGATGGATGATCTTTTCATTGTAACCTTTTTATGGTCTTTGAATTTTGAATCCTATGTATGTATTGTCCACCCATAAAAAAAAATAGTGTAAAGAATCACTTCATTTGATTATCAGTAAAACACACATTATAAGATGATAAATGCTACAGTAAAGATATGAATAAAAAGCCTAAGGAGCACAGAATAAATAATATTACGGGTGGGAGTGGGAAGAGTGCCAAATAGCATTCTAGGCAATAAGAAAATGGGTGTCACGTTCAAAATAGCAGAAATATTGTGGTGTGGCTAAAGTCAGGGGTAGGCAGATGGGATTACCCATGGGCCTGGGCAAGTAGTCTGTGACTATGCTACACCAGTGGCCTCCTGTATCATGGCAGGCTTCTCAAAATGAGGACTTCAAGATAAAACAACTAGATATAACCTGATAAGGACTTACTAAGTGAGATTCTGAAATACTATACACACAATTCCAGATGCCAATTTAACACTATTTATATAAATGTTGTTTAAATGAGCAGACTCTAAAGTTATTTGCTAATCCAGCAGTCATAGTTTTCTTTGTTGGTCAGACCATGTGGGACAAAAAGCAAAAGAAATTACTATTAGTACCTTTTAGACTCTTACAAGTATTTATCACCAGTTAAAAAGAGAAATGTCAAATAGAGCATCGTTTTTTGTGGTTGTTGTGTTTTTGTTCTGTTTTTTTTGAGACGGAGTCTCACTCTTGTTGTCCAGGCTGGAGTGCAATGGAATGATCTGGGCTCACTGCAAGCTCCGCCTCCTGGGTTCAAGCAATTCTCCTGCCTCAGCCTCCTGAGTAGCTGGGATTACAGGCGCCACCATGCCCAGTTAATTTTTGTATTTTTGGTAGAGACAGGGTTTCATCATGTTGGCCAGGCTGGTCTTGAACTCCTGATCTCAGGTGATCTGCCTGCCTCAGTCTCCCAAAGTGCTGGGATTACAGGTGTAAGCCACCGTGCCCAGCCCAAATAGAGCATTGTTACCATCACAACATATAACTAAATAAGCTAATGAACCAAAATTGCACACTGAATGGATATGTATCTATGGGATATTCAACAGTGTCTGATATTGGACAAACCCTTTTCAAGTGATGCTCTGCAATTATATTAACTTAGAACAAACTATTTGGTGGCAGTTTTGGATACTGGTACCACTATGATCTGAATGGTTACCTCTAAATATTTATGTTGAAAACAAAAACAAAAAAAACAAATAGTTATGTTGAAGCATAATCCCCAATGTGGTGGTATGAAGATGTGGGGCCTTTGGGAGGTGAATAGGTCATAAAGATGTTGTCCTCATGAATGGGATTAGTACCCCTATAAAAGAGGGAGCTTGTTCACCCCCTATACCATATGAAGTTGCAAGAAGACGCTATCTATGAAGCAGAGAGTGAGCCTCATTAGACCTAGAATATGGTGTCTCCTTGATCTTAGACTTCCTAGCCTTTAGAACTGTAAGAAGTAAACTCCTGTTACTTGTTAGTCACCTAGTTTAGTATATTTCGTTACAGTGGCCCAAACAAACTAAGATGCAAAACCCCATATTGAACAGGAAAGAGAAAATCTAACACATCAGATCACATACTTTGACTATCTTTGTGAAGAGACCATGCCCGTACTTTTTTTTTTTTTTTTTTTTTTTTT